CTGTGGGTGTCTATGGGTCTCTGTGGGTGTCTGTGGGTCTTTGTGGGTGTCTATGGGTCTCTGTGGGTGTCTATGGGTGTCTGTGAGTATGGGTCTCTGTGAGTCTGTATGGGTCTCTGTGGGTCTCTGTGGGTCTGTGTGGGTGTCTATGGGTCTCTGTGGGTCTGTATGGGTCTCTGTGGGTGTCTATGGGTCTCTGTGGGTGTCTATGGGTCTCTGTGGGTCTCTGTGGGTGTCTATGGGTCTCTGTGGGTGTCTATGGGTGTCTGTGGGTGTCTATGGGTGTCTGTGAGTATGGGTCTCTGTGAGTCTGTATGGGTCTCTGTGGGTCTCTGTGGGTCTGTGTGGGTGTCTATGGGTCTCTGTGGGTGTCTATGGGTCTCTGTGGGTGTCTATGGGTCTCTGTGGGTGTCTATGGGTCTCTGTGGGTGTCTATGGGTCTCTGTGGGTGTCTATGGGTCTCTGTGGGGTCTCTGTGGGTGTCTATGGGTCTCTGTGGGTGTCTATGGGTCTCTGTGGGTGTCTATGGGTCTCTGTGGGTCTCTGTGGGTGTCTATGGGTCTTTGTGGGTCTCTGTGGGTGTCTATGGGTCTTTGTGGGTCTCTGTGGGTGTCTATGGGTCTTTGTGGGTCTCTGTGGGTGTCTATGGGTCTTTGTGGGTCTCTGTGGGTGTCTATGGGTCTTTGTGGGTCTCTGTGGGTGTCTATGGGTCTTTGTGGGTCTCTGTGGGTGTCTATGGGTCTTTGTGGGTCTCTGTGGGTGTCTATGGGTCTTTGTGGGTCTCTGTGGGTGTCTATGGGTCTTTGTGGGTCTCTGTGGGTGTCTATGGGTCTCTGTGGGTGTCTGTGGGTCTTTGTGGGTGTCTATGGGTCTCTGTGGGTGTCTATGGGTGTCTGTGAGTATGGGTCTCTGTGAGTCTGTATGGGTCTCTGTGGGTCTCTGTGGGTCTGTGTGGGTGTCTATGGGTCTCTGTGGGTCTGTATGGGTCTCTGTGGGTGTCTATGGGTCTCTGTGGGTGTCTATGGGTGTCTGTGAGTATGGGTCTCTGTGAGTCTGTATGGGTCTCTGTGGGTCTCTGTGGGTCTGTGTGGGTGTCTATGGGTCTCTGTGGGTCTGTATGGGTCTCTGTGGGTGTCTATGGGTCTCTGTGGGTGTCTATGGGTGTCTGTGAGTATGGGTCTCTGTGAGTCTGTATGGGTCTCTGTGGGTCTCTGGGAGTATGGGTCTCTGTGGGTGTCTATGGGTCTCTGTGGGTGTCTATGGGTGTCTGTGAGTATGGGTCTCTGTGAGTCTGTATGGGTCTCTGTGGGTCTCTGGGAGTATGGGTCTCTGTGGGTGTCTATGGGTCTCTGTGGGTGTCTATGGGTGTCTGTGAGTATGGGTCTCTGTGAGTCTGTATGGGTCTCTGTGGGTCTCTGGGAGTATGGGTCTCTGTGGGTGTCTATGGGTCTCTGTGGGTGTCTATGGGTGTCTGTGAGTATGGGTCTCTGTGAGTCTGTATGGGTCTCTGTGGGTCTCTGTGGGTCTGTGTGGGTGTCTATGGGTCTCTGTGGGTGTCTATGGGTCTCTGTGGGTGTCTATGGGTCTCTGTGGGTGTCTATGGGTCTCTGTGGGTGTCTATGGGTCTCTGTGGGTGTCTATGGGTCTCTGTGGGTGTCTATGGGTCTCTGTGGGTGTCTATGGGTCTTTGTGGGTCTCTGTGGGTGTCTATGGGTCTTTGTGGGTCTCTGTGGGTGTCTATGGGTCTTTGTGGGTCTCTGTGGGTGTCTATGGGTCTTTGTGGGTCTCTGTGGGTGTCTATGGGTCTTTGTGGGTCTCTGTGGGTGTCTATGGGTCTTTGTGGGTCTCTGTGGGTGTCTATGGGTCTTTGTGGGTCTCTGTGGGTGTCTATGGGTCTTTGTGGGTCTCTGTGGGTGTCTATGGGTCTTTGTGGGTCTCTGTGGGTGTCTATGGGTCTCTGTGGGTGTCTGTGGGTCTTTGTGGGTGTCTATGGGTCTCTGTGGGTGTCTATGGGTGTCTGTGAGTATGGGTCTCTGTGAGTCTGTATGGGTCTCTGTGGGTCTCTGTGGGTCTGTGTGGGTGTCTATGGGTCTCTGTGGGTCTGTATGGGTCTCTGTGGGTGTCTATGGGTCTCTGTGGGTGTCTATGGGTGTCTGTGAGTATGGGTCTCTGTGAGTCTGTATGGGTCTCTGTGGGTCTCTGTGGGTCTGTGTGGGTGTCTATGGGTCTCTGTGGGTCTGTATGGGTCTCTGTGGGTGTCTATGGGTCTCTGTGGGTGTCTATGGGTGTCTGTGAGTATGGGTCTCTGTGAGTCTGTATGGGTCTCTGTGGGTCTCTGGGAGTATGGGTCTCTGTGGGTGTCTATGGGTCTCTGTGGGTGTCTATGGGTGTCTGTGAGTATGGGTCTCTGTGAGTCTGTATGGGTCTCTGTGGGTCTCTGGGAGTATGGGTCTCTGTGGGTGTCTATGGGTCTCTGGGTGTCTATGGGTGTCTGTGAGTATGGGTCTCTGTGAGTCTGTATGGGTCTCTGTGGGTCTCTGGGAGTATGGGTCTCTGTGGGTGTCTATGGGTCTCTGTGGGTGTCTATGGGTGTCTGTGAGTATGGGTCTCTGTGAGTCTGTATGGGTCTCTGTGGGTCTGTGTGGGTGTCTATGGGTCTCTGTGGGTGTCTATGGGTCTCTGTGGGTGTCTATGGGTCTGTGTGGGTGTCTATGGGTCTCTGTGGGTGTCTATGGGTCTCTGTGGGTGTCTATGGGTCTCTGTGGGTGTCTATGGGTCTCTGTGGGTGTCTATGGGTCTCTGTGGGTGTCTATGGGTCTTTGTGGGTCTCTGTGGGTGTCTATGGGTCTTTGTGGGTCTCTGTGGGTGTCTATGGGTCTTTGTGGGTCTCTGTGGGTGTCTATGGGTCTTTGTGGGTCTCTGTGGGTGTCTATGGGTCTTTGTGGGTCTCTGTGGGTGTCTATGGGTCTTTGTGGGTCTCTGTGGGTGTCTATGGGTCTTTGTGGGTCTCTGTGGGTGTCTATGGGTCTTTGTGGGTCTCTGTGGGTGTCTATGGGTCTTTGTGGGTCTCTGTGGTGTCTATGGGTCTTTGTGGGTCTCTGTGGGTGTCTATGGGTCTTTGTGGGTCTCTGTGGGTGTCTATGGGTCCTGTGGGTGTCTGTGGGTCTTGTGGGTGTCTATGGTCTCTGTGGGTGCTATGGGTGTCTGTGAGTATGGTCTCTGTGAGTCTGTATGGGTCTCTGTGGGTCTCTGTGGGTCTGTGTGGGGTGTCTATGGGTCTCTGTGGGTCTGTAGGGTCTCTGTGGGTGTCTATGGGTCTCTGTGGGTGTCTATGGGTGGTCTGTGAGTATGGTCTCTGTGAGTCTGTATGGGTCTCTGTGGGTCTCTGTGGGTGTCTATGGGTCTCTGTGGGTCTGTATGGTCTCTGTGGGTGTCTATGGGTCTCTGTGGGTCTATGGTGGTCTGTGAGTATGGTCCTGTGAGTCTGTATGGGTCTCTGTGGGTCTCTGGGAGTATGGGTCTCTGTGGTGTCTATGGGTCTCTGTGGGTGTCTATGGGTGTCTGTGAGTATGGGTCTCTGTGAGTCTGTATGGGTCTCTGTGGGTCTCTGGGAGTATGGGTCTCTGTGGGTGTCTATGGGTCTCTGTGGGTGTCTATGGGTGTCTGTGAGTATGGGTCTCTGTGAGTCTGTATGGGTCTCTGTGGGTCTCTGGGAGTATGGGTCTCTGTGGGTGTCTATGGGTCTCTGTGGGTGTCTATGGGTGTCTGTGAGTATGGGTCTCTGTGAGTCTGTATGGGTCTCTGTGGGTCTCTGTGGGTCTGTGTGGGTGTCTATGGGTCTCTGTGGGTCTGTATGGGTCTCTGTGGGTGTCTATGGGTCTCTGTGGGTGTCTATGGGTGTCTGTGAGTATGGGTCTCTGTGAGTCTGTATGGGTCTCTGTGGGTCTCTGGGAGTATGGGTCTCTGTGGGTGTCTATGGGTCTCTGGGAGTATGGGTCTCTGTGGGTCTCTGTGGGTGTCTATGAGTATGGGTCTCTTGTGGGTCTCTATGAATATGGGTCTCTGTGAGTCTGTATGGGTCTCTGTGGGTCTGTCTGAGTCTCTATGAGTATGGGTCTCTGTGGGTATCTATGAGTATGAGTCTCTGTGGGTCTCTGTGGGTCTCTATGAGTATGGGTCTCTGTGGGTCTGTATGAGTTTCTATGAGTATGGGTCTCTGTGAGTATGGGTCTCTGTGGGTCTGTATGAGTCTCTATGAGTATGGGTCTCTGTGGGTCTATATGGGTCTCTGTGGGTATCTATGAGTATGGGTCTCTGTGAGTATGGATCTCTATGAGTATGGGTCTCTGAGTATGGGTCCCTGTGGGTCTATATGGGTCTCTGTGGGTATCTATGAGTATGGGTCTCTATGAGTATGGGTCTCTGTGAGTATGGGTCTTTGTGGGTCTCTATGAGTATGCGTCTCTATGAGTATGGGTCTCTGTGAGTATGGGTCTCTGTGGGTCTCTATGAGTATGGGTCTCTATGAGTATGGGTTTTGTGGGTCTCTATGAGTGTGGGTCTCTATGAGTATGGGTCTTTGTGGGTCTCTATGAGTTTGGGTCTCTATGGGTCTCTATGAGTCTGGGTCTCTATGAGTATGGGGTTCTATGAGTATGGGTCTATATGGGTCTCTGTGGGTATCTATGAGTATGGGTCTCTGTGGGTATCTATGAGTATGGGTCTCTGTGAGTCTCTATGAGTCTGGGTCTCTGTGGGTTTCTGTGAGTCTCTATGAGTATGGGTCTCTGTGAGTCTCTATGAGTATGGGTCTCTGTGAGTCTCTATGAGTATGGGTCTCTGTGAGTCTCTATGAGTATGGGTCTCTGTGAGTCTCTATGAGTATGGGTCTCTGTGAGTCTCTATGAGTATGGGTCTCTGTGAGTGTGTGTCTCTGTGGGTGCCCGCTTGACCCCTGTGTGACCCCCGCTTGACCCCGCGTGACCCCTGTGGTTCCCCAGGTCGCCATGGAGACGCCGTTCTCCTCGTTACCCCGGCGACCCTTCGTCTCCATGGCAACCGCTCCCGACAGAGTCTCGCTGCCCGAGAGCAACAGCCGAGGTGATGACGTCATCAACAGCGTCAGCAGCAGCATCGTCATCAGCAGCAGCAGTAGTATCAGCAGTAGCATCAGCAGCAGTAGCATCATCAGCAGCGTCATCAGTAGCGTCATCAGCAGTAGCATCATCAGCAGCGTCAGCAGTAGCGTCATCAGCAGTAGCATCAGCAGCGTCATCAGTAGCGTCATCAGCAGTAGCATCATCAGCGTCATCAGCAGCGTCATCAGCAGCAGCATCAGCAGCATCATCAGCAGTAGCGTCAGTAGCGTCATCAGCAGCGTCATCAGCAGCAGCGTCATCAGCAGCGTCATCAGCAGTAGCGTCAACAGCAGCATCATCAGCAAGGCCATGAGCAGTAGCATCATCAGCAGCGTTATCATCAGCAGCGTCATCATCAGCAGCATCAGCAGTAGCATCCGCAGTAGCATCATCAGCAGCGTCATCATCAGCAGCATCAGCAGTAGCGTCATCAGCAGCATCATCAGCAGTAGCGTCATCATCAGCAGCATCATCAGCAGCGTCATCAGCAGTAGCGTCAACAGCAGCATCAGCAGTAGCGTCATCAGCAGTAGCATCAACAGCGTCGTCATCAGTAGCATCATCAGCAGTAGCATCATCAGCAGCGTCGTCATCAGCAGTAGCATCATCAGCAGTAGCGTCAGTAGCGTCATCAGTAGCGTCATCAGCAGCGTCATCAGCAGCGTCGTCATCAGCAGTAGCATCATCAGCAGTAGCGTCAGTAGCGTCATCAGTAGCGTCATCAGCAGCGTCATCAGCAGCGTCGTCATCAGCAGTAGCATCATCAGCAGTAGCGTCAGTAGCGTCATCAGTAGCGTCATCAGCAGCGTCATCAGCAGCGTCGTCATCAGCAGTAGCATCATCAGCAGTAGCGTCAGTAGCGTCATCAGTAGCATCATCAGCAGTAGCATCATCAGCAGCGTCGTCATCAGCAGTAGCATCATCAGCAGTAGCGTCAGTAGCGTCATCAGTAGCGTCATCAGCAGCGTCATCAGCAGCGTCGTCATCAGCAGTAGCATCATCAGCAGTAGCGTCAGTAGCGTCATCAGTAGCGTCATCAGCAGCGTCATCAGCAGCGTCGTCATCAGCAGTAGCATCATCAGCAGTAGCGTCAGTAGCGTCATCAGTAGCGTCATCAGCAGCGTCATCAGCAGCGTCGTCATCAGCAGTAGCATCATCAGCAGTAGCGTCAGTAGCGTCATCAGTAGCGTCATCAGCAGCGTCATCAGCAGCGTCGTCATCAGCAGTAGCATCATCAGCAGTAGCGTCAGTAGCGTCATCAGTAGCGTCATCAGCAGCGTCATCAGCAGCGTCGTCATCAGCAGTAGCATCATCAGCAGTAGCGTCAGTAGCGTCATCAGTAGCGTCATCAGCAGCGTCATCAGCAGCGTCGTCATCAGCAGTAGCATCATCAGCAGTAGCGTCAGTAGCGTCATCAGTAGCGTCATCAGCAGCGTCATCAGCAGCGTCGTCATCAGCAGTAGCATCATCAGCAGTAGCGTCAGTAGCGTCATCAGCAGCGTCATCAGCAGCGTCGTCATCAGCAGTAGCATCATCAGCAGTAGCGTCAGTAGCGTCATCAGCAGCGTCATCAGCAGCGTCGTCATCAGCAGTAGCATCATCAGCAGTAGCGTCATCAGTAGCGTCATCAGCAGCGTCATCAGCAGCGTCGTCATCAGCAGTAGCATCATCAGCAGTAGCGTCAGTAGCATCATCAGCAGTAGCGTCAGTAGCGTCATCAGCAGCGTCTTCAGTAGTAGCATCAGCATCTTCATCAGCAGCGTCATCATAACTGTCAACCCCTTATCAGTGCCCTACCTTATCACATACCACACTTCAGACCTTTTAGGTGTTGATGTTGTAGCGGTGATGTTGATGGTGTTGATGATGATGGTGATGTTGGTGATGTTGTTGATTGTGGTGATGTTGATGTTGATGATGTTGTTGTTGATGTTGTAGCGGTGATGTTGATGGTGTTGATGATGATGGTGATGTTGGTGATGTTGTTGATTGTGGTGATGTTGATGTTGATGATGTTGTTGTTGATGTTGTAGCGGTGATGTTGATGGTGTTGATGATGATGGTGATGTTGGTGATGTTGTTGATTGTGGTGATGTTGATGTTGATGATGTTGTTGTTGATGTTGTAGCGGTGATGTTGATGGTGTTGATGATGATGGTGATGTTGGTGATGTTGTTGATTGTGGTGATGTTGATGTTGATGATGTTGTTGTTGATGTTGTAGCGGTGATGTTGATGGTGTTGATGATGATGGTGATGTTGGTGATGTTGTTGATTGTGGTGATGTTGATGATGTTGTTGTTGATGTTGTAGCGGTGATGTTGATGGTGTTGATGATGATGGTGATGTTGGTGATGTTGTTGATTGTGGTGATGTTGATGTTGATGATGTTGTTGTTGATGTTGTAGCGGTGATGTTGATGGTGTTGATGATGATGGTGATGTTGGTGATGTTGTTGATTGTGGTGATGTTGATGTTGATGATGTTGTTGTTGATGTTGTAGCGGTGATGTTGATGGTGTTGATGATGATGTGATGTTGGTGATGTTGTTGATTGTGGTGATGTTGATGATGTTGTTGTTGATGTTGTAGCGGTGATGTTGATGGTGTTGATGATGGTGGTGTTGTTGGTGATGTTGTTGATTGTGGTGATGTTGATGTTGATGATGTTGTTGTTGATGTTGTAGCGGTGATGTTGATGGTGTTGATGATGATGGTGATGTTGGTGATGTTGTTGATTGTGGTGATGTTGATGTTGATGATGTTGTTGTTGATGTTGTAGCGGTGATGTTGATGGTGTTGATGATGATGGTGATGTTGGTGATGTTGTTGATTGTGGTGATGTTGATGTTGATGATGTTGTTGTTGATGTTGTAGCGGTGATGTTGATGGTGTTGATGATGATGGTGATGTTGGTGATGTTGTTGATTGTGGTGATGTTGATGTTGATGATGTTGTTGTTGATGTTGTAGCGGTGATGTTGATGGTGTTGATGATGGTGGTGATGTTGGTGATGTTGTTGATTGTGGTGATGCTGATGTTGATGATGTTGTTGTTGATGTTGTAGCGGTGATGTTGATGGTGTTGATGATGATGGTGATGTTGGTGATGTTGTTGATTGTGGTGATGTTGATGTTGATGTTGATGATGTTGTTGTTGATGTTGTAGCGGTGATGTTGATGGTGTTGATGATGATGGTGATGTTGGTGATGTTGTTGATTGTGGTGATGTTGATGTTGATGATGTTGTTGTTGATGTTGTAGCGGTGATGTTGATGGTGTTGATGATGATGGTGATGTTGGTGATGTTGTTGATTGTGGTGATGTTGATGATGTTGTTGTTGATGTTGTAGCGGTGATGTTGATGGTGTTGATGATGATGGTGATGTTGGTGATGTTGTTGATTGTGGTGATGTTGATGTTGATGATGTTGTTGTTGATGTTGTAGCGGTGATGTTGATGGTGTTGATGATGATGGTGATGTTGGTGATGTTGTTGATTGTGGTGATGTTGATGTTGATGATGTTGTTGTTGATGTTGTAGCGGTGATGTTGATGGTGTTGATGATGATGGTGATGTTGGTGATGTTGTTGATTGTGGTGATGTTGATGTTGATGATGTTGTTGTTGATGTTGTAGCGGTGATGTTGATGGTGTTGATGATGATGGTGATGTTGGTGATGTTGTTGATTGTGGTGATGTTGATGTTGATGATGTTGTTGTTGATGTTGTAGCGGTGATGTTGATGGTGTTGATGATGGTGGGTGATGTTGGTGATGTTGTTGATTGTGGTGATGTTGATGTTGATGATGTTGTTGTTGATGTTGTAGCGGTGATGTTGATGGTGTTGATGATGATGGTGATGTTGGTGATGTTGTTGATTGTGGTGATGTTGATGTTGATGATGTTGTTGTTGATGTTGTAGCGGTGATGTTGATGGTGTTGATGATGATGGTGATGTTGGTGATGTTGTTGATTGTTGGTGATGTTGATGTTGATGATGTTGTTGTTGATGTTGTAGCGGTGATGTTGATGGTGTTGATGATGGTGGTGTTGTTGGTGATGTTGTTGATTGTGGTGATGTTGATGTTGATGATGTTGTTGTTGATGTTGTAGCGGTGATGTTGATGGTGTTGATGATGATGGTGATGTTGGTGATGTTGTTGATTGTGGTGATGTTGATGTTGATGATGTTGTTGTTGATGTTGTAGCGGTGATGTTGATGGTGTTGATGATGATGGTGATGTTGGTGATGTTGTTGATTGTGGTGATGTTGATGTTGATGATGTTGTTGTTGATGTTGTAGCGGTGATGTTGATGGTGTTGATGATGGTGGTGTTGTTGGTGATGTTGTTGATTGTGGTGATGTTGATGTTGATGATGTTGTTGTTGATGTTGTAGCGGTGATGTTGATGGTGTTGATGATGATGGTGATGTTGGTGATGTTGTTGATTGTGGTGATGTTGATGTGATGATGTTGTTGATGATGATGTTCTTGATTATGATAATGTTGTTAATGTTGTTGATGTTGATGATGTTGTTGTTGATGTTGTAACGGTGATGTTGATGATGATGTTGTTGATGTTGATGATGTTGTTGATGTTGTTGATGTTGTAGCGGTGATGTTGATGTTGATGATGATATTGTTGATGTTGTAGCGGTGATGTTGATTATGATGTTGTTGTTGATGATGTTGTTGTTGATGTTGTTGATGTTGTAGCGGTGATGTCGGCACTGAGGAGTCTGCAGGAGAAGATTCGACTCCTGGAGTTGGAGAGGGGGGTGGGGAGACGCCACTTGGAGGAGGGAGGTTACCACGGTAACCACGGTAACCATGGTAACCACAATAACCATCACGCGTAACCACGGCAGTAGCCACGGTAACCACCACACGTAGCCACGGGAGTAACTAAGGTACTACAGAGTAACTCTGTGGTAACTATGGTAACTATGGTAACTATGTGGTAACTATGGTAAC